ATAAAAAATTGTAATCATCTACTAAATAATACTTTAATACTTATACATTACTTTTAATATATAATTAATAATTAATATTATGTAATAAATACTATTTTATTTAATGTTTATACTACATTGATTAAATTTTATTTTAATATTTGTGTTTGATTTTATTATACTTATATATATTATGTGAAAATAATGCCGAAAACATTCCTTTTCAAACACATAATTAATTTTAGCAAAAAATTATACAAAATTTAAAAATAATAATTAAATATATAAATAAAGAGATAAATCATTAAAATGTCATATATTTATATTTGATAAGAGAAAAATGTTTGTTGAAATAAAAGGAGTGAGTGGTATAATATTTATGTGTCTTAAAAAATGTTAATGTAAAAAGTATTTTTATAATAACTTTTTTTAATGAAAATTAACGAAATTTAAAAAAAATTAAAAAATTGATAATGTATTATATATTGAAATTTGGCAAGAGAGACGATTGTAATTTATAATATAAGGTGAGAGATCGGTATATTATTCATATACGAGGAGAGATTCATTTATTTTAGGAGTCAATCTTCTTAGACTTACTCTATTTAATAACTAATATTTTACATTAAATTTCGATGATCCAACTGTTGAATTTAAAGTTCTTAATACATATAGCAAATTTACAAATTTTAAAAAAATTGAAAACTATTTGATACTTTATTTCATTAATTTATATTGATGAATAATGAAAATTATTTTATATATTAATTTAAATTAATGAAACAAAGTATTAAATAATTTTTATTTTTTTAAAATTTACATATTTGATTTATATATTAAAAACTTTAAATTCAATGATAAAATTGTTAAAATTTGATGTAAAATATGAGTTATTGTATAAAGTAAATTTAGGAAGATTTACTCCTAGAATAAATGAATGACTCCTCTGCATATATATATATATATATATATATATATAATTTATTTTATAAAATCAGTTATATTAATTGTTTAATTCATTAAAACTCCGGCCCAAACCTTACATGAGAGAAAATGAAACGGATGTGGAAGTAAGATTAAGATGCCTTTTGAGAGATATGGATTTAAATTTCTGCCACGTGAAACGTAATTTGATTTTGAAGGTAGACGATGTTGTCCTTTCGAAAGTTTTAATTAAATTAAAAAGCTTCAGCTATCACAATAAATTGTTTTTTTACTACAAAAGCGATTGTTGTGATTAGGAGAGGAAGGTAGTGAAAAAGACGAAGGCAACCCCATCATTTCATTGATGGTTGAGAAAACATATTCACCACGGTCAAAACAAAACAACCTTGTCATTTGTGTGTGCGTTTTGACCATCGCTGAAAATGGAACAGCACAGTGTAGTGGAGAGAGAAAGAAAGAGAGAGAAGAGTTGATTCTCCTTCACACTCTCTGTGTTGCGTGTCGCTGCAGTTCCTGTTCCACTTAGGGGCAACGCAGTGTGTGTGCGCGTGTGTGTGAGTGTGAGAGAGAGAGAACACTCAACTTCTCTCCGATCCCTTTGACCCTCCATATCCATTTTTCTCACAGAATGGCACACATGCAACTTCTCACAGATCTCTGATTCTGGTACCTCTCAACCCTATTAATTACCTGTATTGGATCCAAAGCTTTATTGGGTTTTTGTAGAATAATACCTTTGATTCATGGGGTTGGGGGAAGGGGGTCTTTTTTCCTTTATAAAAAATTCCCATTTAGTGAAATTAGCTAATTGGGTATGTCTAATTTTGCACTTTTTTTTTACGGTATTATTTCAGGTTTTATGGATTTTTAATTAAAATTTGGTGACTTGGACAGAGTTGATGGAGTGGAGCTATAAGGGTGATCAGAATTGGTATGATCAAAATTTGTGCCTTGACTATACCATTCCTGTGAATTGAGGGCGTTGTGTGTATTGAGGTTTTTTTTCTTGGAGTTATAGGGTGTGTTGTATGTACATTGTGTACAGAGTGTAAAACTATATTCACAAGCAATTGGATATACTATGGGTGGTATTTGCTCGAGGTCATGGAAAGCTACTGTAGATGGTGTAGCTGTAGATAATGCACTTAGTGGAAGCTCTAGGCATGCTAATGGGCATGCTAATGATGAACATGGAATGGCTTATCAGTCTATTGGACTTCCCAGAAGTATAGATAACAACAGTTCAAATGTGCTTCCTGATGATGATGATGACTTGGATAAGCATCAAAGAGAGTCGTTTTCGTTTACCGGACTGGAAAATGTTTCGTATGGGTTGAGTGCGGATGATATCAATGATGGGATTCCTCACCTGTCCAGGGCTTTATCTCATAAATCTAAGTCCAAGCAAGCTGCTGTTAAGTTGAGTTACCTTTCTCCCGTTTGTCTTTCTATTTATTGTGTTTGGATTTGCTTATTTTGTAATTCGAAAAACTTATAATCGATGTGCTGATGCTTCTGACTGAAAAGCTGATTTTGTGTAGAGAGAAATGCAAGCAACTCATTCTCTAACACACTGTTTTGAATACACTTTTTATTATTCATTGATTGAAATTTATTGGAAATTAAATTTTTTTGTAGGTCCTACTTTTTGTTAATAAAATTCACTCAAAATCTTGTTGAATGCTGCTGTCCAAACCCTCAAACATGACCTGATGACCCTTGTATATGAAACTGCACTAATCAATAGGTGCCTTCATATGGTTTTATTTTTATCTGAGTTTGACTTACAAGATCTAATAGGAATCAGGCAAGGACAGCATTAGAATTTAAAAATGGTTTGGGTCTAACTCAACCCAAACGCTAGCTCAAGGGATGAACTATATGCAAGTCATATAAGGAACATTTTGACCATATTCCTAACCATTGTGAGATATTTTGACACCCCCTGGCACCCTTCATCCGTGGGATTAGACATTTGGAGTTTGAATTTTGTAGAACTAAATATCCGTGTGTGACCATTTTAGGACAGATCCCGTTTTCTTCTTTGTACAGAGTTTTTGCTTTATAATCTCAAGAAATATTTACTTTCCATAATATAGCTAGTCATTACTTATTAGCATAAGCCTACATAATGTAACTCCACTATCAATATCCAGCAATAACTTTCAGAAAATTATTCTATCGAGTTGCCTCAGATCTGTTGATCTAGCAGCCTCTCTTCCGTTGAAACCAACCTTCATCACAAGACACTATTCCTTCTGTGCCCAACCTTCATTATGGTACATCTGGTCATTCAACAAGTGAAGCCTAGTCTATTTAGTAACAACCTGGTCAAACCTGCACCATTGGCTGTCATAGAAATTGCTGATTAGGTGTTTGCTAGGGTACGCTTTCCAGAGAACATCTCATGCGCCTCCACATGCACACCTCCTTGCTAGCATGTGTGAATCATCACCACCTGGCTAATATCTATTTGCCTTACTGACTATTCTAGCCCTGCTTGTTGGCATCCCCTAGTCCTGTTCTTGTGTTAGATACTGACATTGCTATCTCTGTGTTGGTGCTCTTGTAGGCCCTAGCTTCCACCTTACACTTCTTCCTGTCTTAGTCTTTGTTTAGAATTTGACAAGGTTGATATTGAGCCTACCATCTTGACCATTGAGCAGTCCACTTTTACAACATCCTCCACGCAAAACAGTTCCATACTTGCCATCCCTCTATGTCATCCATACCATTTTTTTTTACGTCCTAGGATCATACAGCCCTCCTACTAGTCAAACACACCATAGTTGGGGTCCATAATACCTTGGTTCCCAAATCCTTTTCTTCTCATTTGTGGAGCCCTTTCCTAATCTAATCATGACCTTCTTTTTTTTCCCTACCCATTTGCAAATCTCTGCATCCTATGCTGCTAGACCTCTCCTTTGTTCACAACGGCCAGACCTCATCCCATGCCACCACTGCCACTTGCATCACCAATTCACCTCCCTTTGGTTGTAGGATTCTGTGAACTGAAATGTCATTCAACCTTTAGCTCTTCTCTCAATCTCACTCTCTAGTCTACCTTCTCTGAGTCTCTTGCTCAATCTCTGTGATTTAGTTTGTTCACACATTTGTTAATTGCGTGCTCTGTTATGTATTGTGTTTGCCTATTGTCTATTTGGATCTTATGACTTATTATGATTACGATTTTTCAATCAAAATTTGTCTAATATTGTGATTTAGAGGCTATTTTCTTTATCTAAGTTATTTTTTTATGCATATGTATTATATTATATTTAAGTATAAGTTTGCATTTTATGTAGGAATGTAGTATTTTACGATCCAATACAGTCCACCAGTTATGGCTGATAAAAAATCCTGAACCCGCACGTAACGTGCGTTAACTGATATAAATTTAAGCTTATAGGCTTGAAAATCTTGAGCTTCGGATTGCTGAAATAAAATTCAGCAGTTGCCAGTTAGGCATGGGTTAACATCAGATGGTGCAGGTTGTAGAAAAATATCCATTATAACCTACACCTGACCGAATAAGTTTGATATAAAAAAGTAACAATTTTAACAGTTAATTTTGTAGTTGCCATTCAACATGTATTCGATTGTGTCACTGCAATTGAGTGAAAAAGTGTGCCACCTCATCATCTCATCATGTCAATTCTGAATTACTGCTATCTTCTCTTCCTCCCATCAAATCAATTTCTCTCTTTTTACTAGTGATTCGGTGGTTCTCACCTTCTCATCTCTTGTATCCACCACACCAGAAATGCAAACTAATTAAATTGCTGCTACATCTTCTCTTCCCTCCAAGGCTCTTTGCTCCGGAGACTTTTCTCCTAAGGTAGCTAGCAGCAACGGGAAGCACCAAAATGCTTCACTACAATGGTCAACATGTTGGTGTCAATATCTGCTTAAACTGAACCAATTAACCCACAACCCCCCTCATATTAAAACTCCAAAAAACCGACTAGTTACACAATTGAACATGGGGTAAAAGACAACTGTAGAAGGTTTGGTTCACCCAAATCCGGCCAAAACCATCCAATGCTTAGGCCTCCACCAGTTATGAGTTTTCATCCCCCTCTTAATCTTGGGTAGAATCTCAAGTTTAACAGCATTGATATTTACTACACTTTTAAGGGTTGTTGGTGACCGTATTGAGGGAACTGGGAATTGTTGAGTATTATTGCAAAATAATATAAGTATAGAACTATTTTAGGACTATCCTTTTTTCTCTATACAGATTTGCTGCTATATGTTCTTTTCATAGGAAAGAATTCTTCCTATAATACAGCTTTACTCTAGGTAACTAAATTATTAGCATAAGTTTATATAATCTAAATTTCCTTTGTACAATCAAAATCAAGCAATAATGTTAAGAAGTTTTTGTTTCAAATATCAGTTTAATTATTTCCATATTTTTTTCCCTACTAATCTATGTCGTGTGGTTAGTTGTCAAGATAATTGGTTGTCTTTGTTTCTATGATGGATAACTGTTCAATAAAAAAGGGTAGAGTTTTTACCAAAAGATTTATATGATTTTATAGAAAAGTATTTATATTTAAGGAAGAACCTGTTCTTGATGTCATGGGTTAGATTAGATCTCTATTCTTTAACCTTCCCCTTCCCCATTTTCAGCTCTTTAAGGCTTCCCATGTAGCCCCCCCAAAAAGGATTAGATTGGCTTTCTGTCTTATCTTTTGGTGCATTACAGGTATCCGAAGTGAGTTCACTTTTGGGAAGAGCTGGTACAGCTGGGCTTGGCAAGGCAGTAGAAGTTTTGGACACACTAGGCAGTAGTATGACAAATTTGAATCTCAGTAGTGGTTTTACATCGAGTGTGACAACAAAAGGAAATAAAATTTCAATTTTGGCCTTTGAAGTTGCAAACACAATTGTTAAGGGTGCCAATCTGATGCAATCTCTTTCAAAAGAGAACATCAGACATTTAAAAGAGGTGGTTCTACCATCTGAAGGAGTGCAAAATTTGATATCCAGAGATATGGATGAACTCATAAGAATTGCTGCAGCCGACAAGAGGTAGATTATCATGGATATTTTCATATTCAATTTAGTAGTATTCTGCCTCTGATTTGGAGCTTATTATTCAGCTACTATTGCACTTAAAGCTTTGTCTATCTTATACTGTTTTGACAGAGAAGAATTGAAAATATTTTCTGGTGAAGTTGTGAGATTTGGAAATCGGTGCAAAGATCCTCAATGGCATAACCTGGATCGCTATTTTGAGAAGTAATTGTAGTTGGATTGATTCATTGCATTTTTTGAGAACTAATCTAGTTGAATTGATTTAATCTTGCCTTATAATTTTTCTTGAAACATCTAACATTGTGTTAGTTATGGTTTTCTTTGTCTTTGTTGATGTTTAGGTTAGGTTCAGAGCTTACGCCACAAAAACAATTGAAAGAAGAGGCAGAGATGGTGATGCAACAACTAATGACCTTTGTTCAATATACAGCTGTGAGTATGCCTGTTAAAAGGAACAGTGCATATGCCTGTCATCTTCCTCAGATTTGTATGCTGAACTCATAACACTATCTTCTTTGAAGTGTGTACTTTAGTATTATATAATACTACAGAATGTGATTAACTTACAGTTTGCACGGAACTGAGGGAAAATTGTGTTTGGTTCTAGTTTGAAATTCTTTGATCACCCTCATTCCTTCTATTTGAAAAATCACTAAAAACAAAACTCCAATTATATGAAAAAATAAATCTGTCTGAATTTCTCAGTAATTGCATTTTGTACCAGAATAAAGTGTCCACATTGTCTAATAGGTGGCTTAGTTATGGATTAGGAGTAAGTTTTTATATTACTTTTGTGAGATAAGAAATTATCCTTACAAATCTAAGCTTTTGGCGATTTTATCCAATTATATATCTCTAGCTACACATATGTGGCATTTATCAGTTTTTTATTTTACTTTTCAACTTTGAACTCAACACACATGTACATGTTTTTGTGGATATGAAAACTTAGAACCACATCTGTGCTATTCATTAGATATCAATTATTCATTTATGGTTAAATAACTTGTCAATTTAATGTTTTTTAATTACTTGCATGCCATTGCCTTTTCAATTATATTTTTTAAGTTACATGCATGTAAAGCATTAGAGTCAATAATAACAGCAAGCAAGCTTCTGCATGATGATTTTATTTTATTATATTCTTTTGATAAGAAAAGAAATTCACAAGACCAAGAGAAAAATTACGAAGGGAGGGTTAAGAATCTTCGTGAACTAAAGAAAAAATCAGAAAACAACCAAGAAAAGACAGAATGATTACAACTTGGAGTGCACAAAATTCTAAGTTTGATTTTTATTTTTTAATTTGAAAAATGAGGTGCAATCTGATTTCCTCCCCTTATTCTGCAAAATAAGAGCATAAATAGACATTGTGATGGAAAGTTGGTTCTTAATTCTTTAAGCTGCACAGCTGATTTTATCAAGACTTGACTTAATTTAGTTTGACTTTTTTCTTTGAGTGCAGGAATTATATCATGAATTGCATGCCTTAGACAGATTTGATCAAGATTATCGGCGCAAACTTCAAGAAGAGGACAATTCAAATGCCACACAAAGAGGTACATGTTATGTTAGCCAGGATTTTATTATTCAGGTGTCATTAAGGGCCAATTTTTTTAAAATTTAAAAATTGATTTTTAAAATAGTGTTTTTTAAAGCAGGTAGGAATTGTTTCTCAAAAAAGAAGAAAAAGCAGTTTAGACAAGCATATCAACAAAGTAAAAAACTACTTATTTTATTAAAAAAAAAAGTGCTTTTTTAAAGCTTACACAAACAGGTGTATCCACTTGAAATATGAGGGAAAATGAATATTATTTCTGATAATTGAAAACTGTAGAAATTTGAGCTACAATATATACAAATTTGATAATAAATGCTATCCTTGAATTTTGGGCAGCAAATCTGGTTCAATTACTACAAATAAGGATATCAGTCCTGAGTCCTCATACCATATAATGAGGATTAAATCCATACAAAAATAAACAAAAGGAAATAATGATAATAATATATGAGCTACAACAAATGACATGTTCTTGTATTATGTATTTGAAAAGGTATTCTGCATAGAGTCAATGTCTTATTTATGGTAGTTTTCACCAAAAATGTATTTTGATCCATCAAGTTTGCAGTTTCTGCAAACCCTGTGACAAGCAACAAGTTCCTCCTTTAGAGTGGCAACAACAACAAAAAATTACCTAATAGGAGAGTCTAGATGGTCAGATAACAATACGATAAAACTTTCCTTTGAGCTTAATAGGTATTTTGCAGTTATAAATAACCTACTATACCTTTTTTCCACTAACCACTTAGTTTGTATGTGACATCTTCATTAATTTCCCCATCATTTGTAATATTGATGTCGTATAATTAAACTTAAAAGCATGTGATGATATTTACCTCCACAGATTCCCTTGTTTCTTGTTAAAATTGCGATGCATATTCTTGTTAGGAAAATAATGTTATGAGTTTATAACTATCTTATTCTTTGTTATCACAATGAGTATTCATATTCTTAGGTGATCAATGTTTATAAAATGTGTAGGAGATAGCCTTGCAATTTTAAGAGCAGAACTGAAGAGTCAAAAGAAGCATGTAAGGAATTTGAAGAAAAAATCACTTTGGTCCAAGATTTTGGAAGAGGTAAGAACACTATCATTTCTATAGATTTTTATGAGTGAATGTTGGAATGTGTTTATTAAAATAATAGTTAATAGATATAGGAATTTTTATTTGTTTTTAGTTTCCTACTGTTGGAGATTTGGCATCCAAAGAAGTTTTATTTATAAAATTCTTGAATTAGTTTTAGCGTCTTTTTTGTTGTTGTTTCAGTTTACCTACATTCCTTTCCCTCTTTTCTCCCCGAATAACATTTATTTTTGAATTTTTTCAGCCTCTTTTTCTTGAGCGATTTTCTTATCACACAAGTATTAAATTTGATTGTTGTATCTGCAGGTGATGGAAAAGCTTGTAGACATTGTTCATTTTCTATACTTGGAGATACATGAAGCATTTGGTAGTTCTGGTATGCTTTCAATAATTACAAGGATTATTAATTAAGTTTAGCTTAGGGTGCATATGCTTTATTTTTTGTTTTTTGAGTATGGATACTTCTTAGTCTTGTATTTGTCAAACATGCTGGAATGTTTATGGAAAGAGTAATAGGGCCCCCCATCCATTGATATAGTTCTAATTGTAATGTACTTTCAATTATTTTATATAATGTGAGCATAAATTTGATGAAATAAGAATTGCTTCTCATAATATTATTTTAAATTGTCCTATGCTTGTTTCTTGTAAATGATTTTTCTGATCTGTTCACCTTGTCTTGACTTCTTTTGTACATTAGTTCCACTCAATTTCATTGCTGCTTTCTTCTTTTTACTGACAAAATGTAGACCATCTTTTGCTGTTGTTAAGATACCAGATGAATAAAATGTGTCTTTTATACTTATCTTCCTCTACACATTGCAGACACTGATAAGCAAGTTAAAGATTCTCAAGGCAACCATAATAAGTTGGGGTCTGCTGGCCTTGCTTTGCATTATGCAAACATCATCACTCAAATTGATACTCTTGTGAGTAATGGATATTACTTAAATTATATAATCTATAATATTTGTCATTGTCTCGAAAGTTCTAATTATCTTTCTCGTAATGAAAGTTTTCTTGTTTTCTTTTCTCTCTCTTATGCTTCATGTTGTCATGATCATATGGTCCTAGAGATAAATTGGTATTATGACTTTCTGGGATAATAGTGGGATTTGACCTAATCTTTTCCCTTTATTTAAAAAATTGTTAGCAGAGGGAAGATCGATACCTTTCTCATGCAAATAAAGCTGATCAATTGGGTACTTTGTGAATATCTTTGGTTGACCTACCTCATTTTAAAATCAGTTTAATTCTATAGGTATCTGGGTTCTGGTCATTTGTCTATCCAAGTGAAGTTAAAACTAAAATAATAGAATATGATTGATCTGTCTTTGTTTCTTTTTATTGATATTTATTTATTTTTTAAACTTATAAGCTAAGCTTATCAAGTAGGAGATGCAATTTTAAAAAGTTGATGGAATGTGATTGGTCAATTCTTGTTTTGTTTTTTTACACACTAAGAAGCAAATCCTATCCATTAGGAGATCCAATTTTTCCATTTTGTTTTGGGAGTAATCGGCTTTTCTTGAGAAGATGAAGATAGAAGCCTTTTCAATTTTTCCATTTCTTACATTGCATGAAATAAAATCATGAATTACATAATGGGTACCCCTGCTCCAAGAAATGCTAATCACAATTGTTGGTATACTTTTTGGTATACTATTTTTGTTTTTTTCAAATGAATAATGCTACTCACAATTGGTGGTATAGACGCCAAAGCCAAATGGTCACAACTGTACTGTTATTGTATCTAAAAAAAGGATAGCAACACAATTTTGAAGGTAGCCATGAGTTGACATTTTAATTTAACCAGGTGTCTCGATCGAGTTCTGTGCCTCCTAATACAAGGGATGCCTTATATCAAGGGCTTCCACCTAATGTAAAATCAGCATTGCGCTCAAGGCTACAGTCATTTCAGGTTAAAGAAGAGGTGTATACCCATTTCTATCATACATTTTATTAGCTGGGTATCCATGGCATAAATACTTGAGAAGTTGTTAATTAACATTTTTCCCTTGAATTTTCATTTAGAAAGATTAAATCTAATTTAGATCTTTATCTTTTCAAGGTTGCACATTTTTACTAGATCATGAGTAGTATTAAGACTATACTCCCTCTGTTTTCTATTATGAGAAAAGAAAAAACTGATTTTACGTATATTAAGGTAATTAGTTATCTGCATTAAATTTTACAAATCTCATACTTCCTAAATTATTCATGTTATAAATGTCAAAATAAGTAACGCAATTTAAAAGTCATGCATTAAAGGAGAGATATTTTAGGGAGAGTATCAATAAATGAGATAAAAGTAGTTGAAATTTATTTATATTTAAGAACAAAAAATGTGTTTTTTTTTTTCTTATAATAGATAACAAAGGAGTAAAATGCACCATGTTTTCATGAAGCCATTTCCCCCTTTTTATGTATGTCATGCTTGGAAGAATTTTAATTGACTTATAAAATGGGGAAAATAAGACACTGTTTTTTGTTGTATGTCACGTATATTCTCCAAGTATATTCCACATAATAATTTGCTGAGAAGAATTTTTCCTTTTTAAAATTTTTATGTTTACCTCAGAATTTTCATGTTATGACTGAGTTGTTAAAAAAAATAAAAATTCTTGTCTGGACACATTATTTAAAACCTATACATGACGACATAATGCCTGTTAATGACTTGCCCAGTTCCATTTATTAATGATTTTTATTGAATTTCTTCTGCCAAAGGAGTTACATAAGCTTATGCTGCGTTGCCAATATTGATGGTGACCAAATTTTTAAATCCAAATCTTAAATGAAGGAAACATTCTTGCAGCTTACTGTGCCACAAATCAAAGCTGAAATGGAGAAAATATTGCAGTGGCTTGTCCCTATTGCCGCCAACACAACGAAGTATGTTTGCTAACCCCTGCTCAGAAATTCCTAGATGTCCCAGTATTGCATTTGGTTAAATTTTCTTTTCATTGTGGTCGATAAACAGCAATGCTCAATATTTCATTTGTAAATAGCAATTGAGATTGCTTTGTCCAAAGACACTATTTCACATTTAGTGTTGCTTTAGCCATGCTCTATTAGACATGAGTGTTCATATGTTATCTTCAATTATTCAATTATCATTAACCTCTGCATGTTCTTCTCTGAAATTTAACAATCTCCTTTTCACTCGGATTAATTCAGAGCTCACCATGGCTTTGGATGGGTTGGAGAATGGGCCAATACAGGGTGAGGACAGAATGTTACATTTACTTCCTCTATGTTTGTATATTCTACCTTCTTTTACTAATGCAAGTTTGTATAGGTCTGAGGTCAACCGTAAACCCGCTGGACAGACCGACTTGTTGCGAATCGAAACACTACACCATGCCGATAAAGACAAAACAGAATCTTATATTCTTGAACTGGTTATCTGGCTCCATCATCTTGTCAGCCAAGTAAGAGTTGGTAATGGAGGAATAAGGTCCCCAGTCAAATCCCCAATCCGTTCTCCCACCCAAAAGACAGGGCAGTTGTTTACACACAAAGCCTGTTCTTCTCCCATGTTAACAGTTGAAGATCAACAAATGCTTCGCGATGTCGGCAAGAGGAAACTGACACCTGGCATTAGCAAGAGCCAAGAATTTGACACTGACAAGACCAAGACCAGGTTGAGTAAACACCACAGGCTGAGCAAGAGTAGTAGTCATTCCCCAATCAGTGAAAGCAAAAATGATATATTCTCTACAAGGAGGCTACCATCTGGTCCTGTCATTGATTTTGATATAGACAGAATGAAGGCCTTGGATGTCATTGATAGGGTGGATACCATTGGAAGTTCATAGTTGTGCGGCATATCTTGATCTTTAAGCCAAGGGGGAATGCTACAATTAAATGTTGCCTTCTTCAACTTAGGTGCCCCCCTAGTTTCCTGTGAGCTGTGAGAAATGTTTGTTGAATTCCTAGGCAAGCGTGATATGATGTGAAAGCCATAGTCTTTTTGAGATTGTTGTAGATGATTATGGGACGGGGACAAAGGGGGTCACCGTTTTCATTAGATGTATATGTACAGATTACATAATCATATAATAATTGTTCGTCTATATATTTTCTCCTCTCTTAATCTGGTGTATATATATGTATGAAACAATTCATATAACTTACCTAATAATGTGTAAAGCAGGCGATGGGAATAATTGTGAAGAACAAATAGCGTGATAGATATTTATTCCATCAACGATCGATATAGAGAGGAAATAAATTTGAACGTATCAAATTTTTGTAATCTAATTACATGAAATGTTTTCTACGTGCTGAGTCTTGTAAATGAATCAAAGCTACGCCAAATTCTTAAAAGCTTAAAGTTTACTTATAACATAATATAGTAATCAAATTTAGTTTACTTATTTAAACTAGTTAAATTTAAAGTTTAGATTTTACTTGTTATAAAAATATGACTCACTGATTAAACTAATTACTAATTAACGATTTAGTATCTAACTGTCCATTATATTTCAAGCCAAATTTTATAACGTTAATTAGACCATAGAAAATATTTTAAATATTTAATTATTTTTTGAAAAAAAAATTAATTATTTGAATGTGATTATGAAACATTATAACTATTATAGAGTGGTGAAACAGTTAATGTTATTTTAATTAATTATTAGATTATAGCCTTAGGTTCTAAACTCGCGCACATAATTTTCATTAATATTTCACGCAATCTTTAATTCATTATCCAAAATCAATTTATATAGCTCCAACTTGATTTTAGGTTGATTTAGCTTATTTTGTACCAATTTAATTGCTTAAATATTGATCCAGTTAATACTTTAATTACTCAGATTAATTATCTAACCAACTTATGGATTAAACAGGCTGAGTTACTAATTTTGTAGCTATATATGGTTTCAGTTATGAGGTTTCTGTAACTTACCCTGCAAAAAAAATAAAAAGTTAAACAACCTCACAATATTGATGTAATTTTCTTATATATGATCAGTTGTATATGTTAAATGCATCAATCATTTATAATTGGGACAAGTTAGATAATCTCATTAGAAACTATTAGGGTTAGTCTAATTAATACTAAGGAGTTGAGATAGTATATACATAATTTTGAGTTAGAAATTGATATCATTGTAATTCTTATAAATAATTAAAAAAAACAATTTACATATAGTTATAATCAATGAGTTTAGCAATAGTTTGGCATTATAAGAAAGAAAAGTGACCGTGATATGTCACCTAGCTAACAAGTAGTTGTTTTAACCTGTCATAACTCACTGGCATGCATGTGTTTTGAGATTTGCATGTTTTGAATGACTCTTAGTTATGCATTTAGACTACGTACAATTTAAGCTTTTGAGGAGCTGGTAGTTAATTTTCGGCTAACACTTGTTTGTAATACATGTCTAGTTACTTCATTTTGCAACCGTGAGAAACTCTTAACGATAGAATCCCAAACCAATAAGTGATGTAAGAGAACATGCATGAAGATGCCTTAGAAATACTTACTTCCAAAGAAATAAAATTGATGAGCATTGAATTCAAGTTCACATGGAAGGCATCCTAATCCAATCCTATCCAACAAGGCTGAGAAGAGAACCTGATTCGAATTGCGAAAGAAACTTAAGCCCACAGATCATGGTTGCGACGTGGGAGAGATTCTCGCGTCAAAAATATGCATGCATGCATGCTTATATATCAAACACTTGCAACGTCAGATATATCATATATCCTACGCTTTCATCTCTCCCATAGACAGTATATACATGGATCGCACCCAATAATTTCATACTAACGACAACTCCACACCATACTAAGCATAGAATATAATAATAAATCGTATATATCATCCTTGCATCACAATCCATGTCTCTCCTCTCATTATTTGATTCATTGATTGATAAGAATATCTATGATGTAGATGTTATTGATTAAATATTCAAATAGTGAACTATTAGAATTATTTTAGTAATGGAGATTAAATATATGATGATTTAAGGTTAAATCTTTATTATTATTGTAATATTTTTTATTTTAAAAAATATAATCAAATAGTATTATGTCATTATTTGTGTTAAGAAAACATCGACATTTTAAACACTTTTAATTTATATTATGATGACTTTTGTATATTTATGTTTTAAACTTATATACCAATATATTAATTAGAATATGGCAATAATTAAGTATATTTTTATTTTATATTAACTTTAGGTTAATTTTGTGTATTTATATATTCATGTTATGTTGTGTCTTATAATTTTTAAAATTTATCGTATTCTCATATCTATCAATGTCGTATCTGTACTATCACTATACTAAAACAGGTTATGTACCCACACCCCCACAAGTCGTCATAGTCATTCTATAGTATATATTGTAAATGTTCCTTAAAATCAAAGCTTTATTCCTACTAGTAAGTGCTTTTCCCCCAATAAAACAATGGTTATTAAGATTCCGATGAATTACGTATATAGGACAAACAACTTAAAACACACATTAGACTGACATATGTAAACCTTAATCACCTTTCAGCCGTTTTACGCGAAAGTTATATACCAATAAGTAGTGCGTATATATTTTTCTGTTTTAAAGTATATATAAATGCCAGATCTTAGCTGAAATCTTTAGCTAAGATAAATACAAAATAAATATAAGAGAAAAGGATATGAAAAGATAAATATTGTGTAAAAAAAAAAAAAAAAAAAAAAAAATTTTGTAAAAAAAAAAAAAAAAAAAAAAAACTTTGAATTGGAACGTCTAATTCATTATGAATGGGGTATGGCGATGGATATATTCTTGACAAATTGATCAGTGTAATTAATTAAACGCGTTTACAACTACTTAATTAATAATTTGATCATACAAATGTTTCGTTCGTTTGTTAGGTTGTTTCTTTGGTATATTATTCTATCCGATAAAGATATTTACTTGGTTTAGAAAAAACAAATCTAATGCGACACGCTTTAACTCAATTTGAGAAGGGGAACATGCATATAATAATATGATAAATATAAACAAGGAATAAATTAGGTAAGTTTTCCAAATCACGATCCCACGTTCATGCATATAGCGTAAGGAAAAGGCATATACAGTGACAAATAATGAACCAACTTCATCTATTTTCATTACTGAGCAGACTGCAGACAACAGTCAAATAAAAGGTACATTATGTAATCAGAGCTCCAACTCCTTGTGTCCCGTTTAATACCCATTCTTTCGTTTCTTCAATGATTTTTGCTTTTTAAGGAAGAATGAGGTTTTGTTTTTGTTTCAGCAAGTTGCTATCGACTTGGATGTTCAAAATAACTATATTATTGAAATAAACTATTAGTTAATTAAATTGAATTAAACTAAAAACTTAACTATTTTGAATGTAAACTAGACTAAACTATATTTTAGTTCAATTTTAAAATTAAATTATTATAATAAATATTTCAGCGCACGTACTATGATTATTGAACTAAACTTTTTTTTAATTTATTTTATAAATTTGAACTATTGTTTTATTAATTTGGTACACTGTCATAAAACTAAATTACTCCCCGGTAAAGCACTAGTCATTTGTTTATATTTTTTTTCATTAAAATTCTAGTAGAATGGATGTTGTTCACCTCAACTCTATAACCTATAACCTGTGCTAATTGAAAATATTTCTTCCTCTTTTTTTTTTTGCAAAACATTATCCCTTTATTTTCCTTGATTTTTATTCTTTTCATTAATTTCCTTTAAATTTCTGCTTATTTTTATTGTGATATTCTCTATAAAATTATTATGATTCACCTCGGGAGAAATTTCTCGATTTGCCTAATCTAATGTAAATGTTACACTGTCGTGCATAGTGATCATACTTTTATTATTTTTGTATTATATTTTTATTTTTCGCACTAGTTTATTTTTAAATAGAAATTTGATTAAAATTTGTAAAACTAATAATGTTACTTTTTAGTTACGATGTATAAATAGAAAATTTACAATTTGTTTTAATCAACAAAACTGAAACAATTAAGAAAAAAAATAATAGTTCAATTTAGTTTTTAACATAAAACTAGTTTAATGAACCTATAAAAACAATTCAGTTGAGTTCAAAAATCAAAATAAACGGTTTAGCTCAATTTTCTATTTTTTTTTTATTTAGTTCAATTTTCTTTTTTGGATTGAACCGTGAACAACTTTAATATCAATATTTTAACATGTTTTCTCGCTACTTTAAAGTATGAAGTGTAAGTTAATTTTATTTTACTATTTTAAGTTGATTAGAAAATTTGACAAAACTGGTATATTGTCAATCAAATAAAAAGCATTCATGCTATCATCCACACTAATGATCAACATGTTAGAGTTAGTCCTCCTCTTCAAGTTTATTGGGTTCCCCCACCTTCTGGTGTCTTCAAATTTAACACAGATGGTAGTTCTAGAGGCAATCCTAGGCCGTCCAAGTTTGGAGGTGTTATTAGAGATAGTTAGGGCAACTGGATCATTGGATTTTGTGGCTCTTGTGGTCATACAACATTCTTAGCAGCTAAACTTTTTGCAATCGCTTGGGATAAATTAAAGAATCTCGACCTTGATTTGAGAAACTGATTCAAAGTTGGTTGTACAACTCATTCATCAAAGCGACATTACCTTCCACCCCTATGCTACTATCATAAGAAGGTCCAAACTTTTCAAGCAATGGATTGGGAGATTATGTTTCAGCATACGTATAGAAAGGCTAATATGTGTGCAGATGAACTTGCTAAGGAGGGTTCCTCTATCCATACTGCGATTAAGATATTTGATTATTGTCCTGCCATTATTTTACCTTTAGCTTTAGTTGATATTTTAAGTGTAACTTACTTGCACTAGGTTTATTTTCTAGTTTTATTTTTTCTTTTCTTTCCTATTCATAAAAAAAAAAAATCTTCCTAATAACATCGTTGCCGCAGGAAAATTAGATGCCCTAAGCTCTCACATATATTTGTATTATGCTTATACCAGCTAACAATATTAACACTTGTTTGACAACCTAACTATATAAAAAGTCGTCTAAAGAAATCATATTATGATTTTAAAATCTGGTATATATATGCCACCCATATTTTATTCTTGAATACATTAGTTGTCAACCCT